GGGAATGAGGGGGGGCAACGAATGTATGGATGTGCTTTACACAATTGATCGATGTATTGTGATGAATTGTATGAGCCCCAATAAATTGATTTAAAAAAAAAGAAAGTTATGGTGACTGTTTTTTTTAATTCCAAAAATATTCACAGATTATTTTTTGTAGGACACTGGACAATCGAAAGACACAGGACAATCATAAAGAAATTTTTAAAACTTGAAAACTACATTGGAAAGAAAAAGGCTGGGTGTGTTAGTCTGGGTAGACTAGAGAAACAAATCCATGGACACACATATGTGTATAAGAAAGAGCTTTATATACAAGAGCAATTGAACATCGAGAAAACATCCCAGCCCAGTCCAGATCAAGTTAATAAGTCCGATATTAGCCCATAAGTCCTCTTAAGACTCATGAAACACATGCAGTGATGCCAAATGCAGATCACAGGCCAGAGAGCAGAAAGTCTTTGGATCCAGTGTCATTGGAAACATCTCAGTGCTGGCAGGGGTCTCTCTGTGGCTTCTTCAGCTTCCGAGGTCTGGTTGCATCCATGTGGCTTGTCTTCTGCGATGTCTCCCAGGAAATAGAGAGAGGTGTCTTCCTCCTCCAAGGAAGAAGTACCAGATTTCTCAGAATTCTCAGAAGGCCATGCCCACAGAAGTCTCATTGACTATCTCCAGATTGACAGCCTAGACTCCACCCCTACACTCTTAATCCTTAAATAGACACCAGATTAAGTGACTACCACACCGGGAAAGTTGAGCCATGGAATTTTTTTTTCACCATCACAAGTACTTGCTTATTCTTTTGGGCCTAAGGGCTTTTTCCCCTTTTTAAAAAAAAATCATTTAATTGGGGGCTCTTACAGCTCTTATCACAATACATCCATCCATCCGTTGTATCAAGCACCTTGGTACATATGTTATCATTTTCAAAATAATTTCTTTCTACTTGAGCCCTTGGTATCAGCTAATTTCCCTCCCCTCCCCCCTCCCCTGTCCCTCATGAACCCTTGATAGTTTATAAATTATTATTTTTCATGTATTACACGACCGCTGTTTCCCTTCACCTACTTTTCTGTTATCCATCACCCTGGGAGGAAGTTATAAGTAGATCTTTGTGATTGGTTCTCCTTTCTCCCCACACCTTTCCCTTACCTTCCTGGTATGTCTACTTTCATTATTGGTCTTGAGGAGTTTATCTCTTCTGGATTCCCTGTGTTTCGAGCGTGTACATGCTCTGGTCTAGCCAGATTTGTAAGGTAGAATTGGGGTCAGGATAGTTTGGGGGAGGAAGCATTTAAGAACTAGAGGAAAGTTGTATGTTTCATCAGTGCTATACTGCACCCTGACTGGCTC